GAGCCCCAGTCCCGCTGCTGAGGCTGGAAAGGATGATCCGCCGTGGTTTTGCTGGGAGATACCGCGCCAGATGTCGGAGCTTCACCCCAAAGCAGCATCGGGCGCTGCTCCCGCGCCCCTGCGCTCCTGGGGCGTTTTAGTTTCGCTTCAGTCTTTCAGGGAAACATTTGTGGGTTTCAGATCTCTCTGTTGGAGCTGGATCCTCTTTTTTTGCACCATTTTGACTTAGTCTGGAGCGAGGCAGGAGCCTCAGCTGGGAGCAGAGCAGAAGGCAGCTTCTCTGGAGAGGGGGGCAAGCCAAATTCACATCCCTTTTTGAGTCCAAATGTCTCTTTCAGTGACCACATCCTGAGCTAGAAGCTTTCACTGAGGCTCCCACTCAGTAAGAATGACAGCAGCTCAGGCTTTCCCTGCTTGTCCCTTCCCTGCCTGCCAGGAGCCGTGCCCAGGGCTGTCAGATTGAATTCTGTAACACCCTCTTTATTTTTTGCCCCAGTTGCTTCTAAAAGGGCATGAAGGATGAATGAATGTTCAGCTTGTTTCATGAAGAAGAGAAAAAAGAAAGCATTAGGAGTGACTGTGCAGAGAGCATGACAATCCACTAGTTAAAAAAGTAACCTTGCTTTAGTACTTCATTATCGATTTACTTCACATTTTACTTTCTCAGGTGGACAGAGCTGGGTGAAGGTGCTGGTGCTTCAGGAGCCCGGGTTTGGGCCGGGTCCCCCTCCTGGGGGTGCTGCAGGAACACACGGCTGAGCTTTGCCGTCCCCCCGGGGCAGCTCCGGTACGGGGGGAGATGTGTCCCACCCCGCGCAGAGCGGGCTCGTGTGTCTCCTGGCTCCGTGTCCGGGGTTTGGGATTTTAGGGAGCGGGATGGGATGGAGCAATGGCGGGATTCGAACCCGCGTCCCAGTGGGAAGGCAGAGGCCACGCCCCCGAGACAAGACCACGCCCCCACGAGGAGGCCACGCCCCCAGGGCAAGCGCCCTCAGGCCACGCCCCCC